TTAAACATTGCATATATCACATGAAATCTAATTTATATATAGAGAAACAATTTCGAGCAAGAAAAGAGAGAGAGATCTAACTGGGGTGTATTCGGGGGGATTCTGTCGATTATTTATGGATTGGTAAATTTTTGAGTACAACAGTCTTGTTACTCGCTGTCACGTTTGGCAAAAACAGAAAATGCATATAGACAAATATATGGAACCAGTTCATGTGTAAAATTGATTGAAAATCTACAATGATAGACTGATCAGATGAATCTAATGAATATATAGACAAAGCAAGACATAGAGAAGTAGAGAGAAGAGTGACTTTACTGGGGTAATTTCTGGCTGGGAAGCGGGGTTAGCCGTCGGGTTTGACATGATTTTCACGAAGACAACGAACGTAAAGATCTGTGGCTGCGGATTAAAGGCACTTTGTAAATTAGGGTTATAGCTGTGCTGAGATTCATGTTTAACTAGATTTTTTTTTTAACAACTTAAATTTATTAATTAAAATGTGATGCAAATACATATACAATACATATGAAAATAAAAAACAATAATTAGTACACGAAAAATAGTTAGAAGACAATAGTAGATCCAATGAAGTAATTGTAAAGACATTTTTCCTTCAGAAATCTTCTTTCTTAATAGAGTATCAACTCTACTAATTTTCTTGCGAGCTTTAAATCTTCGTCGCATCATTAACACCAATTTTCTTTGTTTTATTACGTTGACATTATCCCATATTAGAGTTATAAATATTCTCTGGTCTCGAATCCAATCTATTGATTCAACCGGAAAAATTAAAAACTGGGATAACTAACTTTCAATTGTAAAAATATCGCCATACAACAAAGAAACTACATCTGCCACTCCATATTGTCGTTCTTTCCATGAAAGTTTCCATGATCTCAACGATAGATCAGATTTATCTACATTTCAATACCAAATATATTGTACCAAAATATAGAATTTAAAACATGTTTTTGGAGTTGTTCTTGTATTTCTGGCTTCATTATGTATCCTTTTCAACTTCTCTTTTCCAGGATCCCAAATTCGTCGACCTAAGCACCATTGAATGAGAAGAAGACACAACCATGTAATCAAAAGTTGATAATTACTTATCAAACTGACATCACAGTGGATCTTTTCCCCCATAGAGATAAAAAATATCTGAATGAATTGTTGTAAAAAAAACTCCACTCCGACATCATTATGAAACTCTAGTAACCGGTTATGCATGTGATGTGGCACATGTCTTGTTGATGGTGCTTCAAATGAACTCAGATTGTAGATACCCAAACTCTGATCGAGAGTTATCATCATCAAGCCATGATCCTTCACATGCATGGTTATAAGAAAAAGTAACATAAGAGCACTACGTGTGCGTCTTAGGAGAAAGACCATTAGCATGGCCATTGTCAACATCAAGATCACCATGCTGATTCCCAGGTCGGAGGTGTATCAACGGAACCCTCTTGATGTCTTGATCAGAAGAAGAATTTGATCAACAGAAAAGAGAAAGCGATCACATCTTTGATCGCCAAACTAACTGCACACTAACTGTTTAACTAGATTTTCTTACAGCACAAGGTTATATTTCGTGGGTAATTTTGACTTTTTATATTAAAAAAATATAATGTTGTATTATGGATTTTTCAAGTTAAAACTCATCAACTAAATTTGTTTTGGGTAAAAACCCTTAAACAAAGTATTTAATGGAAAAACCCTCAAACTAACTTTATTAATTGATTAAACCATCTGTCTACAACGCAGATGCAAGTCAAAATGACTTTTGGTACCGGTAAATCTTTAGTTTAGTACTTTAGTAGTTTTTACACTAACTAAACATAATTGAGGTGCTTTACCATTAAAAATTTAAAAAGCCAAAAATGAAAAAAATAAAAATATAATACATATATTACAAAAAATTAGTAACTTAATTTGCAACCTCGGCATTTTAAAAATTTATGCAAATATATGAGTATGATTTGTTTTTAAAATCAACACTTTATATGTAGAAATTAAAAATATATAAAACCAAAGATATAATAAAATTTATGTATTTACCATTAAAGATATAAAAAACCAAAAATAAAAATTTGTAAAATGTAAAATAGAATCATCATCTAAAAATTAGTAACTTAATTTTGTAAAATTAGCATTACAAAATTATGAAAATTGATGTGCTTGGTTTGTTTTAAAATCAACATTATATATGTATAAATTGACAGGTAGTAATGGATCTTTTGATCGGAAGTAGAGTAAAACTAATTATTTAAAATTTAGTAACTAAGATTTGAAAATTTAAGTTACTAATCCTTAGATAATGTTGTTTTATTTTAAATTTTACATATTTTTATTTTGTATTTTTTATATCTTTAATGGTAAATACATCATTCTTATTATATATTTGGTTTTTTATATTTTCAATTTCTACATAGAAAGTGTTGATTTTAAAAAAAAAATCATATTTGTGTTCCAAAAAAAAAAATCATACTCATAGATTTTCATAAATTTTTTAAAATGCCGAAGTTGCATATTTAAGTTACTAATTTTTAGATAAACTTATTCTATTTTTTTTTTCATTTTTGGCTTCTTAATTTTTTAGTGGTAAAATACCTCAATTATGTTTAGTTAGTGTAAAAACTCCTAAAATAAAGATTTACTGATACTAGTGGTCATTTTGACCTGTAATGTAGACATATGGTTTAATCGCTTAAATAAAATTTGTTTGGAGCTTTTTCCCATTAAATACTTAGTTTGAGGGTTTTTGTCCAAAACAAGTTTAGTTGAGGGGTTTTAACGTTAAAAAATCTTGTATTATTTATTTATTTTGGTGAACGTATATACTATTTTATAATATTAAAAAAATTCGTTCTAAAAATCTATTACAAAAGATTGTTAGATTCTTCTATCTATACATATATTTGAGGATTAAATTTTCCCTAATTTTCAACTTATCCATGATTTTAGGTAATTTTGCTTATATGTCATGTTTAGTTAATTTCATATATAATTTATGAAACTGAATTTGTTGATTTACAACTTTTTCTTGATTTAGATAATTTTTTATTTGTCATGTTTTTTATAATTCCATATATAATTTATTACAGAGTAAAACGAATTTCTATTAATAATATTAAATTTTTAGAAAATAAGATAATACTTATGTATTATATTGTTATCTTGAATATATATTTTTCTATTATAAAAATTAAAAATTAAGATATAAGAAGTTATAAGTTATATAAATCAAGCAATGTTAATTTGTCAAATTTTCTATGAGTTTAGATAGTTTTATTTATTTTCATGTTTTAATAATTGCATATATAATTTATTATGTAGTAAAAATATTTTATATTAATAATATTATATCTTTAGAAAATAAGATAATTTTTTGGTATTTGATTGTCATCTTGAAATATATTTTCTATTATAAAATTTAAGTGAATTTATTGATTGTTACTTCACCTTGGTTAAGGTAATTTTTCTTATATGTCATCTTTTTAATTATTTTATATATAATAAATATGAATTTTTATTAATAATAATATATTATAGAAAACATAAATTATTACTTGTTATGTTGTTTTTGAATCAATAAAATATAAATTAATAAGTATTTATAAGAAAATTATGCATGTATATACAAACAAAACACCTAGTATATAGTTATTTATTTTATTTTATTCTATCATTAACTACTCTAGCTATACAAATTTTAAAAATTTACAATGACTCATATTATTACTCCTCATTCATGTAATACATTTATTTTTTAAAATATTTTGTCAGTCAATACTATGGTTATTATACAATAATGTTATATACCATATCTTATATCCAATATGGATCTACAATATTTAAACATTAATTATAAAATAAGATGTTATATATACCTTTTATACCATATCATCTTATGTTATATATTTGTAAATATTTACAAAATAAAATTTGAAACACTTTATTAAAACATCTGTTAAACAAAATTATATTACGCTAATTTATTTCTTACAAAAAATATTTATAATAACAATACAACCCAAACCCAATATTTAAACATTAATTACGCTATAGATCCAAAATTTATAGGTATTTTATAGATATTTTAATTATAGATTCAAACCGATCCAAATTTGACAAGAACCGATATGAATCCGAACCGAAAATTTTCAAATACTTATTGGTGCAAATCTCAAGGATCTGAACCAAACTGGTTTTATAGGAGTAGATAGTTATATTAGGAATGAAATATTATTAAGCCATATTATTAGGGTCCATTTTTAAAATTGTCATACATAAATCAAAGTTGTAATATAAATACTTCTGAAAATAAAATATATAAATTTAATAATTTAATGAAATTTATCATATTTAGTTAAAACTTTTATTCTACATTTTATAAAATATATTAATGTATAATAATATTTTAAAACTATTTACAAATTATTAAAATATTTACTCAGAACTTTTTTGAATATTCAGTCTTGTCAAAATCTTTTAAACAGATTTGTTAGATTTTTAAAAATATATATTTATATTTAAAATGAAAAGATGTCAAAAGATATTATGATTAAAGTAGTTCAAAATATTGTCTAAATAAAATAATCACACATGAAAGAAGTTATGATTTCTATTTTAATACATAAGATGTTTATACATACATGGTTGGGTTATTTAAATTCATTCAGTATTTTGAACTATACGATAGTTTACATTACCACTATGTATAATTTATTAAGAAATTAAATATGTGTTTGTTAACCAAACTGGTTTTATAGGAGTAGATAGTTATATTAGGAATGAAATATTATTAAGCTATATTATTAGGGTCCACTTTTAAAATTGTCATACATAAATCAAAGTTGTGACTTCTGTTTTAATATATAAAATATAAATTATATTGTGTATATCATTCTCGTGTAGGATATGATATGATCTAATAAATAAAGGTCTATATGTCGTATAACTTTGTCATGTACAAAAAGACGTGGTGTAACAAATTATCGTTACACAAATTTTAGGTTAGATATTAGAGCATCTCCCTCAATGAACTTGGGGAAGGGTTGACAACCTTAGTTTTTCTTTTTCTTTTTAAAATAATAATATAAACAGATCAATTATGGGTCGCCACGTGGCGTGGAGCTCGCGAAATAGTAATGAAATTAGTTCATCCGGATGCATCTCTGCGAGATGAGTTTACCATTTCTCAATAGGGAAAATTGACAAAATAACCCTCAACTTTCGAAAATAAGCCAAAAAAATCTCCAACTTACAAACAAGTCATTTTAATCTCCAACTTCTAGTCAAACACGAATATATCTCATACTTTCGTTGACCATGCCATTTTAATCTCGTCAAAATTCAACCGTTTAGTTCCGTTAGTTATATTTAACGGTTGACTTTTAGTGAGTCTAAAATGGCTTGGTTAACGAAAGTATGAGATTTTTTTTAACTTAATTTAAAATTGAAGATTAAAATTGCTTATTTAAAAATATCTTAACTAAAATTTAACTTTTTAACTAACAGAAAAATATAATTTTTCATATCAATTGTAATCACTAACTTAATAATATATGTTCAAATAAGTTTAGATATAATATTTAAAAATGAATTAAAAAAATTATATACATCAGCTGCTGGAAATCCTTTTCACGCACTTGAGTTCCTCATTTTCACTTGTTTCATCCTCTATTGAGTATATGCGATTATAATTTTAACAATTTTAGGGTCTTACCTTTCACTTTTATATTTTTATTCTTAATTTTTTTTTGAACATAAACACTTAATTATTTTATTTTATATCTGGATTTACAGTATAATTATATTTTTAATCAAATTTTTTTACTAAACAATTTTTTTTAATTCATTTAAAAATATTATAACTAAGCTTATATGAACACATTTTATAGCCAGGGGTAGATAATCGAAATCCTTCAGCGCAGATACGAGTTGCCACTCACGGTTCATTAGCCTCCAGACACTTAGCTTATGCTCCACGCATCCATTGTCATTGTATTTAGAGAAAATGTTCATATACATGAGATATCCTCCAGAAGCTGTGCAAGATCTTTTGAACTTGGGTTCTTTTCCCAAATCAGGGAAAGGTGTAACTCGGCATTGATCATCAGAACCGTAGAAATCGTAGGACACAACAACTTCTTGACGGTCAAGATTGAGACCGAGCCAGTGAAGGTTCCCGCTCAAGCTTACGGGATCAAGAAGATTGAGACTAACCAAAGGGAGTGTTGATTGGAGAGTTTTGAAACTCCAGGAGCCTGTCTCTGATGAATATATAGTGAAAGCTACAAAGCATTCAGTGTTATTGAATCTTGTGTTGACCAGAACAACTTTGAAACCTAGAACGACGCCGTCTTTAGTTCGTGTAACGAGCCTCGCATGTCTGAATAATACATCTAATTCTACAAACCAGAACTCCTCTTTTTCAAACCCTAGATGCCAAGTACGTGGAGTAGGAATCTTGATGCGTTGTTTTGAAATAGGGTTAGCTACGTAATAGGTTTGGTCCGCAGGGAACGTCGTGACATAGAGTAGAAGCAATCCAATATCGGTGTAAGCCAAGACTCTATAGTTTTGTGTACGATGCCAAAGTCTAGTTACTTTCTTCTTGGCCTCTAATCTTTCGGCTATGAAAGAGGAGACGTAAGAGCCAAGAGATCGTTCAAGTCCCCATACTTTGCATCCGTAGTGAGCCACGACTTCCTCCCCTGGATTTCTGCGCATGAGAGACCATGAAGAGTGCGAGTTTTGATGATGAGACAGAAAAACCTGTCGGAAAAACGGTGATTCGATGATGGACTTCCATTGCTTGCATACTAGTTTTGAAGTGGTGATGTTTAATAGTGGTAATCTCGCAAGTATAATCGCCAATAGATCCTCCGTGAAGAAGCTCAACTTCATCATGTTTCTTGACCTTTTTGGGATTAGGGTTTACTCTTTTCCCATGACTAATGGTTAATTTGTGTATATATGTTTAGGTTTGCTAGTAGTTATCTTTACACTTTTTTATTTTACATTTTCTTTTGCATATATCATACCAATATAGTTAAATTGAGCCCTGCCTTTTTCGATGCATGTTTTCTTAATGAAGATCAAACCACTTTCTATGTATTGCATATTGAAAAATAATAAATTTATGTAGCATATACTAACTTGGGTTTCAAGAGTGGCCAACATCTTTTCTTAACCAAAATATCTGATCTTAATCATCTTTTTACTCTTTTTATTTTGTCAACAATCATCTGTTTACTCACTCTTTAATAGGTCAACAATCATCTCTAATTTTCTTGAATGCACTGATAGGGATAATACTAAGCTATTTAGCCACTTAGAGAAATATATTGACCTATCAATTTTTTTTACTAGAGTGTTTCGTAACACCCGAGAACATAAACTTCGAATTATAACTACGTACTATGAATACTCTCGAGACTTACTAAGTTAAACAATCAAGGTTTTTTTGGAACTTACTAATTACGTTTTAGTGTTTGACAAATAACGAAGAGGGTGTACATTTATATATATGGGAAAGGAAGCTCGGCCTGAGAAGTTAAAGATAACAATCAAGGAAAAATATTTTGGAAATATTCATGTTTATCGTGCAAGAGAGAGGGAACGGAAATATTCTAATAATCATCTGGAAATTTTTTGAAATTGTTTGACACAATCTAAAATGTTTAGTTTATCGAGATAAAATTTACACAATTTGGTATAAATTTTCTGCAAAAAGAACATCTTATTATATAGGGTAAAGTCCTAAACTCCAAGTCCCATTGCATAATGTCCCTCTCACTCGTTCTCTATTGTGTTCCCACAAACTTATATTACACAAGATGATATCTATAATATTTGTGCTTGGTGTATATGCGTGAACATTAACAAGGGAGTTTCATATATATATTACAAGATTTTTCTTATCATAACTAACGTGAGACTTTTTACTATTCCTTTAATTTAATTCACATTTCTGTTTACATTTATCCAAAATTTTACATAGTCCAAAGGCTTACAAAATTTAGATTCTAACAATTCATTGACAATAATTTTCATTACAATGGATAGTACAATTAGTAAACACCAACCTACAACTTATTCCTCTTCCATAAGGAAACAACAGTAATTATCAAGAAGAAAAAAACAAGTTAACTCTTGCATAATATATATATTAGATCTAAACTCGTACCTAGTTAGGGAAAGGATGAAGCCACCTTGGGAGAACGAACGAGGAATAAGATGATTCCATTATGTATTCTATATCTCTCGGACCACCAACAGAACTCAGAACGCGCCCGTCGCTGCTACGTTCCAACTCTCCGTGGACAATAAACTCCCCAATGTGTAAGCTAACCGACAACAAATCTTGCCCTCTCCTATCTCCCCTCCAAAAGTACACTAGCTTATCATCAAAAGGGTTCATCCCCAATGGAATATAATCAAAACCAGCCGTTATGAAACTAGTGGAGATTTCAGATACTAGTTGCCACCCTTCACTCTTTAGCCTCCATACACAGAGCTTCTCAACTTTTGCTACGGAGACTATGTTAATATACATGAGAAACCCTTGACAAGTTGTGCAAGCTCTTTTGAATTTAGTAGTTTTGTCCAAGTCAGGGAAAAGTGTAACACGACATCTATCAGAACCCTTGTCGCCAGTAGCATAGAAATCGAAGGATACAACAAAATCTTTATACTCGGGATTATGAGCGAGCCAGTGAAGCTTCCCATCCAAGCTTATGGGATTATTAAGCTCCTGAGAGATGAAAGTGAAAGGAAAACAAACAGTTTCATGACTCCATGACCTGGTCTCAGATGAATATATCAAGAAACTAGTAAAGTTTGTTTTTAACAAAACAACTTTGTAACCCAAAACGACGTCGTTCTCGGTACGTGTCGCAATCCCCAATATCCAAAAACGTTTCTCTACATTAACATTAGGAAGGATCTGTACGCATTGCCTTGAGACAGGATTAGCCACGTAAAATTTCGTCACTGCGTAAATCAATATCAAACCAACATCGGTGTAAGCCACGACTCTACCTTGTCGGTCCTCGAACTTGTCTGCTAGAAAAGACGAGATGTAAGAACCGAGAGAACGTGTAAGACACCAGTTGTCGGATCCGTAGTGAGCCATGGTTTCTGTCTCGCAACCTCTACACATGAACGACCATGAAGACGGAAATGAGTTTTGGTGGAGAGATATAAAAAGATCGCGGCAAAAAGGAGACTCAACGAGTGATTTCCATTGCTTACAAACCAGTTTGAAAGTGATTATGCTTTTTAGTGGTAACCTGGCTAGTATAATCGCATACAGATCCTCTAGAAGCGATTCCGTTCCTGTATTATTCTTTGGTCTCTTTGTCAATAGGATAGGGATTAGTGGTAATCTCGATAACATAATCGCCCATTGATCCTCTGTGAGCAAATCCATCTCCCTATTGTTTGGTCTCTTCATCATCAATCGGATTAGGGTTTTCTTTTGCGTATCTGGTATTTGTATAACTCCCACAAAATTATAAATCAATTATATATATTATTAGAATTGGGCTTATAAATCATTAAATATCAACTGAGCAATGGGCTTCAGACTAATTAGGTCTACAAGGTTATATGGATTAGTAAATCTAAGGGTACTTAGGTGATAATTTTACAAAAGATTTAGACAGAGAATCTATACTATTATTTAAAGAAGTAAATTTGCTTAGTTGTCATATTCTCCATAAATTTAGGTAATTTTGTTTGTTTATCATATTTTCAATATTTATATATAATTTATTTATAAACAAAACGAATTTATATGAATATATCATATTTTTAGAAAATAAGATAATGCTTGTGAATTATGTTGTTATCTTGAAATATATATTATATAGAAAACTTAAATTTTAAATTAAGATATAAAAATTATTATATTTATTATATAACTAAAACAAATTTATATTAATAATTTTATATTTTTCTAAAATAAGATAATTCTTATGTATTATATTGTTATGTTGAAAACATATTTTCATATTAAAAAAATTAAAATTAAGATCTAAAATTATATTATTAATAGTTAAATATAAATCATCAAAAAAAATTATTTGAAAAGTGAATTTGTTGATTTGTCTCGATAATCCTAGGTAATTTTGATCATTTATCAGAATTTTTCTAACTTTTTTTTATTATTGACTATATAATTAAAACTAACATGTAAAAAATCTATACTATTATTTAAGAAGTGAATTTAATGTTTGCTGATTTGTCATATTTTCCATAATTTTAAGTAATTTTGATAATTTATCATAATTTCTATAATTTTATATATGATTTATTATATATTTAAAACAAAATTTATATTAATAGTATTAGATTTATAGAAAATAAAACTACTTCTTATGTATTATGTTTTTATCTTGAAAATATATTTTTATTTTATTTTATTTTAAAATACAATAGAAAATTATCTATTATTAATTAAATATAAATCATCACTCAAGAAAAATGATTTAAGAAGTGAATTTGCTGATTCGTTAACTTCTCCATGATTTTAGGTAATTTTAATTATATGTCATAATTTCTATAATCTTACATAATTATTATATAATTAAAAAAAATTATCATATTATATTTTTAGAAAATAAATAACTTATGCAATATATTTTTATCTTGAAAATATGTTTTTCTATTATAAAATTTTAAATTAAGATATATAAAAGTAAAATATATATTTGTATAAATATTATAATTAAATATAAATCAAGCAACATAATTATAGAAATGTATTCTTTTAAATATTTCTGATGTTTGAGTTTCGTCATTGGTAATTATTTGATGTTTGCTTTGTACTTTTTGAAAACATAAATATAACTTATTATGTTGATTCTAAATTAATAAAACATCAACTAATAAATATTCATAAGAGAATATGCCCGCAAGTGCGGGAAAAACACCTAGTAGGCACATTAAACAAGAGATGTCTTGAACAAAATCAAGAACTAATAGAGCAATGTAAACGTAAATTATTATAGTATTTCTGTATGCGCTTTAAAATTAAAGGCAAAAACTATTTAGGGTGAATTTGTGCAATATTCATAAGAGATGATGAATGAAGAATATAACCATAACACAGTTGATGTGACAATTTGCGTTAAAAGCAGATATTTTTCTTCTTTCACTCGTGTGCGCGTGAAATAATGAGAGTAGAACATTGCTTACGTTACACTTCGCGTTCAACAATCACATTATTGGAGACGAAACTTATGTGATTCTAGGGCTAAACTATACTATCAAATAGATGATATAGTTTGAACACAGAAAAAGCAAAAGAGAGCATCAACGTGACATATATGTTTCTGGGGCGGGATGATTAACTCCAATGAAATAAGATAAAAGTTTTAGAAGTTTGGAACATAAAAATGTCACAATGTTAGATTGTACTAAAAAGAAAACATATATACGGTACAATAACATATAAAGGGAATGAATGGAGGAGAAGGTACTATAATAAATGTGATATAGTATAGTATATGTAGCTCGGCAATGGTAAAAGTTTCCTCACATAACGCATACCAAAAGAGTCCAAAGTATATGTACGTATGGAAAACGAAAAAAATGATGCATGTATGAAGAAGCAGGAACCCAGCTTGGTGATATATATGCCCACTTACGTAACGTGTATTCGAAAGGAATTAATACTATACCAATGTATATAGTTGAAAATATATGAAAAAGGCTAACAACACAGCTCACGTAAATAATCATTATGTTGCATATTATGACTCAGTTGGCATGTACAATATGGGAGACATAGACATGAGACTATAACATAACGAGAATAATTTATATTGTGACATGGAACTATAACATATTATGACTAAGTTGGATTGTACAATCAAAGTTTGCATCAAAAACGGACCATATATTACTATATTATATGCCATATAGTATAATTCATGCACTACAAAACACCATATGATTCTATACTATACACAACTAGTATAGTATAGTCGAACGGAAACAAAGAACCTGTTTATTTGATTGTGTTATGTACAAGAAGTAACCACACTGAAGTTTATCGGTTGCGACAACGTGTTAACTACCGCCATAAAAAACAAAGTCTACAATTAGTAAAATTACAGAAGTCCCAAATGACAAAATCTAATATTGAAAATGTTATATAAACTAAATGTTACATATACCAGTTGCCATTTATACTATATTAAAAATGTAATAGTATAGTAACGAAAGTTCTTTGCTATGTCACAATACAAACATATTTCCTTGTTGCATAAAATACATAAAAGACTAATGTCTAAAAAACGTTACTATACTATACAACATATAGTATAGTCATTCAATAGAAAGATACAACACGAATGTTTAGTTTGATGAAAGCAAAAATACATAATGGAACATATGTTTGACACGGTGTTGATGCGTAGTATAAACATGATTCCACTTAGAAAACTAAATAGGAGGAGAAAATGATTAAAACATGATGAGAGAGGAGAGGAGGAAGTGTTGTGGAAGTAATTGAAGTGAAGTGAGAGACAAGATGGTGGTGGTGTTGTTGGTGGAGGAGTGGGAAGAGGAGATGTTGGTGGAAGTGATTATTGAAGTGGGGTGAGAGAGGATAAGGAGAGGGAGGAAGAGGTGGTGATAGTGGTGGTGATAGAGGAGGGAGGAGGAAGTGATTGAGTGAAAGAAGATGATGAGGTGTTAGTGTAAATTATTGAAGCAGAGTGAAAGAGGAGAAGAAGGTGGTGGTGAAGGAAGATGATGAGGAAGAAATGTTGGTGGAAGTGATTAAAATGGAGTGAGAGAGGAGGAGGATGAGGAGGGAGACTTGGTGGTGGTATTGATGGTGGAGATTCTAAAAAAGTATACTATTGTATATATATATAATATAGTATCTATTATATAAAGACAAGCTTCACTCCCTCTAAGGCATGCCACATAGGCGCCAGCGTGGAAAAGCCACGTAAGACACGAACTTTATTATTGGGTCTCACTTGATTTTCCGTTTGGGCTTCGCATGTTCATGACTGGCCCGTTATTTTTTTTTTAAAGCATCTAACCCTAGACTTTCGACTTTCCCATCGAGAGGTGACGATTGGCGTCTCTTACTCGCCTGAATCTCAAACGGCCGGTTTCAGTTGCGCAGTCTTGACATCAATATTATGTTAACTCCATGATAAAAGCCTGTAAGTCCTGTGCTCCAGATTCTTTTGTTTCGAAATGGTTCCAATATTTTTTCTCTGACTTGCAGATCAGCCGGTGCTCATTTGGTGTTCAGGCACGGCTCCTCCGGTTCCGGCAAGCAGGACGTATGAGGCGCGGTGTGGAGATCCAGTTCTTTGATTTGCTCCTCATAGACGGAAATGTGAGATTCGTATCTCTATAACTTTTATTGACTCACCTTTTATGTTCCTGTTTTAAGATTCATAGCTCTTAGAACTTCTATTGATTCAATTTTTTTTCCTGATTACCGTATGATTCGGTTTGTGTCCGTTGATGTGTGTGAATCTGTTCATTAGTGTGTTTGAATCTGTTCTTTTAAAAACAAAAGTCTACCGTCATCCATATCTCATTAACTGTTACTTAATAGATTAGACGATAATGTTTAGCTAACCTCACACGGATGTGAACTTTGTTATATCAAACATATAGTGATATTTCAAATGGCAGAATAAGAAGAGAAATCAGAAGCATTTGTTATGACAATTATGATGATAATGAAGTTTTATGGGATCCACATATGTCTCTTACTCAAGCTTCTTTGAGAATCACCCAATGAAAGACTGTAAATGGTATATCTTGGCATTGTTAACTATGATTTTTAGTGTTAGTTTATTTTCTGACAGATAACTTTTTGTTTGGATCCTCTATATATGTACACACATGTTTGTGACTAGGTTTGTATTGTCTTAGGAACAAAAGTTTTTTGAATTTTTTTTGGTCTCTTCGTCCATAAAACAATTTAGTTTTGTTTTATTTGATGTGGGTTATGTTCAAGAACTTGAATTGGTCAAAATGTTTTGACTCTTTTTTTGTCTCTTCGGACATGAACAGTTTGGTTTTGATGTGGGTTGTGTTATTTTTCTCAAGGCAAAGATGGTTACTTTTGTTGTCTTTTGCTATATAGGAGCTCGAGTCTATGGCAGACTCTATGAAGAAAGAAGTGTCTATGGTTCGTAAGAAGATTGATAGCGTTAACAAAAGAACTCAAACCTTTAGGTTCCACTGTTCAAAAGAAGGTACACACACATATATACACTCTCTTTAAAATCATATAAAGGCATCCTAAGATTTTATCTATTTTACAAATTGATACCAAGTAAAGGGAAGGTTTTTTTTGATAAAACATGAAAGGGAATAAAAAAATAATAAAACCATCATCTATTTACAGAGAAGATGTTCCCCAGATACTGTCTTCAAGGTAATACCTTGACTTCAAGCTTTCTCAGAAATGGCTTGCTCAATGATGGATTATGGATGTGCTTATTTTATTGTAGATCGTGGTGGGTTTTGTTTACGGAGTGGAATCAGACAATGAACCAGGAAGGTGTCGAAGAACAGCATGAAAGAAGTGGAGATGCATTGTTTTTCCATCTCCACAAGGTAAATTTTATTCTCTTCCTGTACTAGTGTTAAGTTGCCTTTATATGTAATGAATATAGTCTTCTTCTTCTATAATGTTATGCCCTTCTTCGGTACTGAAGAAATCTGTTATGCGATGTATCAAACATGTGTTTAGTTTGTACTTTACTTTTCCTACACTGTCATATCAATCTTGTGTGGGGCACGCGCTGTAGCTGAAACTTTTGTTCACCAATGTAATGCAACTGTGCTCACCTATTTGCAGATCTCTCTTCTTTTGGTCCCTACCCAAACTCATTCGGGTTCTGTGGTTTTTGCAGTTCCTTTGTTTGTAAGGATTATAATTCTGACACTTTTTGTACATTCCAGTCTCTACTAAGCCTCTTCTTCGAGAAAAAATGTTGTATATTTTTTCTTCTAGCGTTTTTGACTCTATGCTATGTGCAGTTTCCTTTGCTCTCTAGGAGTGGAGTCATAGAAAGAAGAATTGCAGAAGCATCCAGAGAAGAGGATGATAAATGTCTCATTCAGATTTCTGGTTGGGTTCATGGTTTGCATAAATAGTTTCTTTGACAATGAAAGCTTTTTTTTTTTTTTTTTTACTTTTATTAGTATATTTGGTTCTGGATTTTGACAATAATGCTAATTTATTTTAGAATGTCGGGTTTCAATGTGGGTAAAGGCGGTGGCCTGGTCCGGCAGGAGCCGTTTCTTAAATTCTTCAAACATGAAGAAGATGTCGGGATTTCTTGGCTCATGGTAAAATGGGGATTGTTAAGGATAAAGAAGATGGTGTTGAAGTTGCAGAGTTTGCAAGGCAAGGCAAGCCTGTGGTAGAGATAGGGACAGTCATTTTCGCAGAGGTTTTAAGGAGGACGTGGAGTGGAAGGCCTTTGCTTTCTTTTATGGGTTACTTTAGGAGCATAGTTTATCACCGAATGAAGCATGTTCTCTTTTTTTTCCTTGATTTCAAGAACTGTTCTTGGTTGATAATCAAGAAGATTTTAATGCCATTAGTTGATAACCCATTTGACTTATTATACGTAAAAAAATATTAATTTTAAGACATTGGTTGTAGATTTGGAGTTATATTAATAATTATTTTAAGAGATAGTAATACATAATAGATTAAAAAAATTACGAAAATAAGACCACAATAAAAATTTAATTTAATAGATAATAAAAATAATTGTTCAGAGAAATATAATAAAATACAAAAAAAAATATATAAAACAAAAATGAATAATTTCTTATATAAAAAGAGATATGTTAACTTATTCTAACTAAACAAATGTAGAATGTATTTTAAATATTTATGTCCAGTATTCTTAAAAAACTATAAACATAGGTCCACAACTGTGTAAAATAAAATATATAGTTATATAGTCGAATAAGAGACGCATAATATAAAATAATGTAAAAGAACAAATAAAACTAGATAACTTCAAATCAAACAAATAAATCAACAATTTTATACCATCAAAATAAAATAGAATAAAACTTCAAACAAACCATTTTATTAATCGTACGGAGAAATTTAGTTAATTGTAATGGAAACGAAACTAACTAAAGAATAACAATCAATAAATAATGTTTCATACTAATATAGAATAAAACATTTTAAAATAACAACATGTATTAAATAAAAATCAAAAATATTTACTCTAACTATTTAAATTACTTTTAGATTTTCATCTCGCCCATAGGGCGGGCCGGTCCTAGTATTAAATGAAATGAAGACGCAACTGCTTGCAACTTGCAAAGCCACAAAAATACAAAGTAGGGTCATTATTCTCATTACTCATTAGTGAGTTTAGGCCTGGGCATTTTACCCGGACCCGAAGACCCGAACCGGAACCGACCCGAAAATACCCGACCCGAAAATTTACAAGCACCTATTGGGTCTAAAATTCTTTTATCCGAATAGACCCGGACCCGAAAAGAATCGACCCGAATAGACCCGGACCCAAAAAGAACCGATCCGAATAGACCTGGACCCAAAAAGAACCGATCCGAATAGACCCGATCCGATAAGAACTGATTTGTACCCGACTCATAAACATGTACAGTAAAACCTCTATAAATTAATAATGTTGGGACTTTTAAATTTTATTAATTTATAGAGATATTAATTTACAAAAGTTTCCTTATTTAGATTTTTTTAGTTTAAGATATATTTATTTTAAGCTACGTTAAATATTTGATTTTAATGTATAGACATTAATCATTATTTTTTTAAATTTCACATTTATATTATTTTTTTATATTATTTGATATGTAATATATATTTTCATAAAATTTAAATGTGATTTTAGATATATATTACTAAATCTCATTAAAAATATATTATGTGTTAAGAAAATGTAAAGATAATTCCATTGTAAATTTAAAACAAACAATATAATGCTAGGTACTTACTTATATAAAATATGTATATATAGAATTATTAATTTATAATTTTAATGGGACCATATATTTGCATATAATTTTTTGAAAATTTATTATCTTATTATTTTATCGATTTGTGTCAAATTTTGAACCGGCCCAAATTTGGACCGGTGAAATTTATTAATTTATAGAGATTATTAATTTATCGAGTATTAATTTATAGAGGTTATACTTTATATCCAAAACTATTATTTTGTGTTATGTTTTATATATCTATACTATTTTATAATTTATTTCAAATATATTTTGTTAACAACATTTATTATTATTTGTAACATTTTTAAGTAATATAAAGTTTTAAAATGTAAAATTTAGAGTTTAAAAATGTTTTCTTTAATTATTAATAGTTTAAATTAAGTTATTTTATAAAATTCTAGATATATAAAAATATTGATTGAATTTGAGTGAGTTTGATCATGTTATGTATATTTTAGATTCTAAATACCCAGATCCGATATGGATCCGAAAATTACGGGTATTTTACAGGTATTGGAATTATAGACTCGAACCGACCCGGATCCGGCAAGACTCAACCCGGAACCGACCCGAAAAATCATAGGTATCCATATGAGTCTAAATTTCCAAGATCCGAAAGTTATGGACCCGATAAGACCCGGTCCGAACCCGACCCGAGGAGCCGGATGGCCAGGCCTAAGTGAGTTGAGCATTATTAAAAGATCTCCTTGTCTTCTGTCTCCGACACCAAACAAAAACATTTGGACTCGTTTGAACAAAACAAAACAAAAAAAGAATAGAAAAAAAAACACTTGGACTCATTTATAGTCACACATTTGCCTTATCAAAATGTCCCTTTATTTTGTAACAATTTGATTCTCGTTTTAGTTGTGGGAGAAAACAAATAGAAATCAACCAATTACTGGCTGGTTAGATTCCAATTCGAAGAACCGGTTGATAAATTAACCGTAAAACCTAATGCTTACCAGTTGTAAGCAAACTTAGAGAATAAGAGTTGGTGCGTGCGTTGGTTTTTTATCTGTTAAGTCGCCTGAGAAGCTTTCAAGGCAAAGCAGAGGAGAAGAAAGAAAGAAAGAAAGAAAGAAAGTATGCAGATTCAGTGCAGAACCCTAAATTTCACAATCTCCTCAATTTCTTGTAATCCTAAGCTGCCATTCACTATAAGGGCATGTAAGCCGAGTTTCAGGAGCTCTGTTAAGTCTCATAGGCTTATAAGTAGCTGTTCAAGTCCTAATCAAGATGCGGGTGAGGTGGAAGTAGAAGAAGTGAAGAAGGTAGATGGTTTAGCGGATCAGAGTATTTGGGGGCAGATGAAAGAGATAGTCATGTTTACGGGACCTGCTGCTGGACTGTGGGTATGTGGCCCATTAATGAGTCTCATTGACACGGCTGTCATTGGTCGAGGAAGCTCTCTCGAACTCGCTGCTTTAGGTTATGTCTCAACACTTGACTTCATATTATTTATGTCTCAGATATGTTCGTCTTATTGCTATTCCAGTCAGTATAGGGTTGCTAAATTTCATTATGGATGAAACAGGTCCTGCAACCGTCGTCTGTGATTATTTGTCTTATACTTTCATGTTCCTCTCTGTTGCCACTTCAAATCTTGTTGCCACCTCTCTTGCTCGCGGGGTCAGTTTTATTAGAATTGCATTTTCAGGAGATTTTGGTCACTTTTCGTTAACAACTTCTCTAATAGAATAGTGGTTATGGCAGGATAAAGATGAGGTACAACATCAGATATCCATCTTGCTTTTCATCGGCTTGGCTTGTGGAGTCGTGATGATGGCGTTTACAAGACTATTTGGTTCCGGGGTACTAACTGGTAACAAGAAATATTTTATTTGTAGCTGAAGTACTGTAGTATAACAAGTACTACTAAATCAACAGACCTGTTGATGGTTTAGTCTTCTTTCAGCTTTTACAGGGGCAAAGAATGCTGAAATTGTCCCCGCCGCAAATACATATGTTCAGGTTGACACTCTTTTTCTTATGTTGTAAATTTTCAGGATTTTAATGTTTTGTGGTTTTGGTTGAGTGTGGTGGCTCTATGCATATAGATAGTATGTTTAATCTGTATTAACTTCAGCCCGTGAGTGTTGTTAGTGACTTCCCTCTTTCTTCCTTTGAAGTAAGTGACTATTGTTTTTTTCTTTTTTCATTTTCAGATTCGTGGATTAGCATGGCCAGCTGTTCTCATTGGATGGGTTGCTCAAAGTGCAAGGTCCCCTTATACCTCCTTTTCACCTGCACGTTAAAGTTTCAGCATTGTCGCACACATCTGCCATAAAAGTACCGAGAGGATTATATATCTCACTGTTAAGCTATCCATCCTTTGTCTCAGTCTTGGCATGAAAGACTCATGGGGACCTTTAAAGGCACTTGCAGTTGCTAGTGCAATAAACGGTGCTGGTGATCTGGTCTTATGCACCTTTCTAGGATATGGTATAGCAGGTGCTGCTTGGGCAACTATGGTGTCACAAGTAAGCTGACATCTATAAATCAAAGTAATCAATATGGTTTTTAATTCAAGATGTTTTAGGTTGTTGCAGCTTATATGATGATGGACGCATTGAGCAAGAAAGGATACAACGCTTTCTCACTTTGTGTTCCTTCTCCAAGTGAACTCTTAAACATCTTGGGGCTGGCTGCCCCAGTCTTTATGACTATGATGTCAAAGGTTAATACTTCATTTGTATCTAATTAGACACTCAGTTGCAACAAGGTTGTTTTATACGTAGATGATATTTGTGTTTTCTCCTTTTAGGTTTTGTTTTATTCGCTTCTTGTGTACTTTGCTACATCGATGGGCACAAGCGTCATAGCTGCTCATCAGGTGTTATCTCCTAATATATATTCAACACTAAACATGTCTCCTTATTTGAGTTTGTTCTATAACTTCTTCTGCTCTTTTGGTGTCTAGGTTATGCTCCAGACATATAACATTTGTACAATTTTGGGGGAGCCTCTCTCTCAAACTGCACAGTCCTTTATGCCTGAGTTGTTATTTGGAATCAATCGCAATTTGCCTAAAGTAAGCAAATTCGTCGTTGGTGAAAATATACTCAGCTTAGGAAACATTTGGTACATCTTCTTCTTGGTTTTACCTAAAGCAACTCTATTTTCGCTGTTGTCTGTAGGCCAGAATGCTTCTGAAGTCACTCGTTATCATTGGTGCTACACTAGGAATAGTAGTGGGAACCATTGGCACAGCAATTCCATGGCTGTTCCCTGGCATCTTCACACAAGACAAGGTTGTCACATTTGAGGTATTGTTTTTTTTTCCTTCTTTACATTTTGTCAGGTGTTCATCGCAGCACATTTTTCTTGCTTTATCGGTTCCTAAACAGTTAAATACATATTGTGACAGATGCACAAGGTCATAATACCATATTTTCTTGCTTTATCCATCACTCCGAGTACTCTCAGTCTTGAAGGCACCTTACTGGTAAGTTCGGATTTTTCTGTCTCACAATCTAAACCCTGATTCAAAAGAGCTAAACACTGTTGTTGTAAAATGGAGGCTGGAAGAGATCTGAGATATATAAGCTTGTCAACTACTGGATGCTTGGCCGTTGCTGGGCTTTTACTTATGGTAATCACTCACTCACTTATAGTCTTGGTCTCCATCACTCTTACTAAATTCCAAAATAGATATCTGTCTGTAACTCTTATCTCCTTTTGGCATTGTCTACAATTAACTAAAAGCTTCTGAGCAATGGAGGATTTGGCTTGAGAGGCTGCTGGTTCGCTCTCGTGGGATTCCAATGGGTACATGTCTTTGCTACAACTTACTAAGCCGTATAACCCAAACCATACACACAGCTTTTGCTCTTCTTGAGTCTAATATGAATTATTTCAGGCTCGGTTTTCTCTAGCCCTTTTACGTCTTCTTTCACGAGATGGTGTAATTTATTCGGAAGACACAAGCAGGTATGCAGAGATAGTGAAAGCTGCTTAGCTCAGGTGGTCACCATATACCTCACAAGAAAAAACGTATAAGGGAATAGAAAACAGCTTCATTCATTCAGTTGTACATCAATGACACTATGTATGAGATTGTATTCTTGAAGAACAGTAAAAGTATCACGGTCTGACTGCAACAGAACCAGTGGCTTCTTCTAAATGCAGAATCATATCCTTTAGCTTTCCAGAGTCCTGTGTATTTTCACTTATTCATGGAATCAGTCAGGCTTAAGTAAAGTCACTACATAGAGTGTCAGGATCAGACTTTAATGTTTCACTGGCTAAAGAGAAATCTTGGAGAACTTGTTTCATAAGTTGATACATTTTTGAGCTCGTTCTCCTCTAGCTTTACTAGGAAGGGCAAGATGAATCCGTAACGCATGACTTGCCTACGAGTTGACATTTCACGTTGTCTCCCAAACTGTGAGCTTTAGAAGCAACCTTTTACTTCTCCTTCACATTTGCTTTCTAGTCTCTGGATTAGCTTTTATTGAAACCATAAGCCTATTGTGTAATCCCAGTCCTTCTCAATTTGATCTTTAAGTAGTACATTTTAGTCCTCTTATTTCAGGAAGTAGCTTAAAGTTTAATTTGAGTATATCAAATTATCGATGCTGAACATGAATGGTGATGTGGCTATTATATGGAAGTAATTACTAAGGTTAGTACTGATGGTGATGAGTTCCTGCGTTTTCAAATTTCTTTACTAGTTTAGTTCTTCATCATCACCGAGTTATTATTAATTGGCACATCTTCCCCGAGTTACTGCTAAGCACATCTTCACCAAGTTATTTCTAGGTGCCACCAACACCTCCCAACTAAGCACATGCCTTCATGTGACGCTATTATTATTATTATTCATATGAGAATATATATACAATACAATAAATGGTTCTAGAGAGTATCTAAGTATATAATAAATATATTTACATATCTAATCGTTGTTGGTGTTAAAATTGGTCACGACGGAATCAATGGCAAAAAGTCTCTGCAAAAATATAAAAGAAATCGTTTTATAAAATTCGTAGAATCGTTTTATAAAACTCGAATAATTGTTTTATAAAACTCAAGAATCGTTTTATAAAACTCAAAGAATCGTTTTATAAAACTCGAGAATCGTTTTATAAAACTCGAGAATCGTTTTATAAAACTCGAGAATCGTTTTATAAAACTCGAAGAATCGTTTTATAACACTCTGAGAATCGTTTTATAAAACTCTGAGAATCGTTTTATAAAACTCGAAGAATCGTTTTATAAAACTCGAGAATCGTTTTATAAAACTCGAAGAATCGTTTTATAAAACTCGAGAATCGTTTTATAAAACTCGAAGAATCGTTTTATAAAACTCTGAGAATCGTTTTATAAAACTCGAAGAATCGTTTTATAAAACTCGAGAATCGTTTTATAAAACTCGAAAAATCGTTTTATAAAACTCGAGAATCGTTTTATAAAACTCTAAGAATCGTTTTATAAAACTCGAAGAATCGTTTTATAAAACTCGAGAATCGTTTTATAAAACTCGAAGAATCGTTTTACAAAACCACGAAAACCGAAACCGCCGTAAAACGCGAACTAGCCTCGTCCCGGCTAGTTCGCCCAGCGGCGAACTAAGCCAAGCCGGTCATCCACCTAGTGAGTCCGGCTTTGCCCCTGTTGGAGCCCATTATATGGGAGCTTCCCGGACACTTCGACCGGCGAGCTGGACCGGTCCGGCTCGGTTCGCCGTACGTCGAACAGGCCATCCCAAGCCTCGATCTCCCGCATCCCCGATTCAGTGCTTACGTCCTTGGACACGGTCGTGCTCCGAACCACGGTCAAAATGTCTCCCGTTTCGTCTCGATCCGACCTATCATTCGAGTTTTACAATAAAAACCGTAAAACTTTGAAAGAACTCGAGGAAATCGTATAAAACAGCAACGGTTAAACGAAACACCGAACATTGCCTAAACTATACGATTTATTCGAGATTTTTCGTTAAAATCGTAAAAAAACGGCAACGATTAACCAAGAAACGAACATAGCTAAACTTTACGATTAACTCGGGGAATTTACTAAAAACAGCATCGGATCAGGAAACGATCTCGTATAAAGTCGTAAAAAGGATTTTATCGTAAAACGGCCCGAAAGGTCCTAAAACGCGATAAAAACCCATCTCGCGATATTAACGAAATCTAACCCGAAGATACGATAACATTTTGATGGTTTACTCGCAGAAGGAAGATAAATGTCAAGTTTGAAGATAAATGTCAAGTTTGAAGATAAATAGAAGATTTTCGCGGGAAAAAAAAGAAAGATCAAAATAAATGGAAGATTCCTGATAAATTCGAGTTCGGGCGAAATGGAAAGACTAAATCGGGCGAAATGGAAAGACTAAACCGCCTAGGAATAGAGTATACAAGCAAGAGGCATAGGTCAGAAGCAAAGGACGAATTTCAGAGCTCTTATCTGAGACTTTTACAACTTTCCTAGACTTAGAATTTTCCGCACTTAGAAACTTAGGTTTTTTTCTCGACAAGTTCGGTTTCTATGACTGGCGCTCAATTACTAGACGAACTCGCCTAGGCGGTTCGATCTCTGGTCCAGCTCTATCAACTGAACTACGTTCGACTTGATCCTCGAAAGGGGTACGTAGGCAGCCTTTCACAAGGTTCAGTCTGAAATCAATCAAATCCTTTTTCTTATCTTTTTCCGTCTTTTTTTATCGAGCTGCGACTCGATTAGGTTTAAGGTTTTTATGTTGATAACTCGCTGACGGCCCTGCGGCCAAAGCCTTTGTAAACCCTTGTAATGATCGTAACGCTTTTACGCGAAATCGAAATAAGATCTACTTTTTCTTTAAATTCGTTTTATTACGTTTTTCGTATTTTTCCGTATTTATTTGGTTACTTGTCGTTGGCTTTCGCAGAGATCCGGTTCCTCTGGAAGATTAGGGTTTTCCTAAGTTTCCTTATTTAACGGAAATCGACGAGTGTGAATTTCGGTTCCCACAATCGTATATTTTCTAATACTCCCCCACAGTTTTAGCGTGGGATGGTCGGACGGTCAGACTATTTCTGAAGTCCAAGAAGAGTGGAGAGGAGAGACCTTTGGTGAAGACATCAGCGAATTGTTTAGCCGAGGGGACATGAAGAACCTTAACATGACTAATTGAAACCTTTTCGCGGAAGAAGTATATACTAATCTCGACATGTTTTGGTCGTTGATGTTGAACAGGGTTGGAGGAGAGATATATGGCACTAACATTATCGCAGCAGACAATGGTCGCCCAAGAGATTTGTATCTTCATTTCCAACAGAAGGTTGCGCAACCACGTAGCCTCGGACACTGCATTAGCGACACCTCGATACTCAGTTTCTGCACTGGATCTGGAGGTTGGTCGCTGACGTTTTTAAGACCATGAGACAAGATTATCACCGAGGAAGACACAATAGGCGGAGGTGGAGCGTATAGTATGATTAGATAAGAAAAAGAAACGGTTTCCATAGCCTAACCTTAATTTTACTATGGTTATCTATTGTTTTTGTTGGGTTACTATGAATATTGGGCCAAATTTCCCAACTATTTATCGAAGAATAAAAGAATTGTATTAGGGAAAAATATTAAATGAATCAAAGAATTTGTAAACTCTTGAATCTTGATTGTACTGAAGATACTTTCTCTTTGACTTGTGTGGATCATAAGGAGCGCACATATAATCAACTTGGACAAGGCTTACCTAGTTACCACATGACTGTGTATCTTTTTCTATGTTCCCTAAGAGTTTTTCATTGTTTCTGGATTGAGTAACTCAGTTGTATGAAGAAAGCTATTCAAGTAGTATATAAACTATGGTTCCGTAGATATTAAATGAAATACTTTGAGATGAAATTATTAAAATATATGGAATATTTTTATCTACTTACATTTGATAAACTTAAGTTTAGAATCGATTGCGGTTGCTCTTACGTAACTGAATCAAGATTCAAGACAAGTGGAAACAAAGATTTGCTCTAGTGGTCGAATATTTTTATTATCTCCAATCTTTTTTATTCAACAAGAAGGTCTTTGGAGACTAACCAATGAGAAGTAAACACCTGTGGGCCCCTTTGCCAACAAAAATGAATGAGACCCACGTTCCACGAGTTTCCCTTTCTCTAGAACAGCGATCGCGTCACAGTTCTGGATAGTACTCAACCTATGTGCAATAACAACGCTCGTCCTCCCAACCATCACTCGCTCTAGCGCGTCTTGCACCACACGCTCCGACTGGCTATCTAAAGCACTCGTTGCTTCATCAAGAAGCAACACTGACGGGTTCTTCAGCACCGCACGAGCTATAGCAATCCTCTGTTTCTGACCACCGGATAACTGTACTCCTCTGTTCCCACAGTACGTATCGTAACCGTCCGATAAAGCTGTGATGAAATCGTGAGCGTTCGCTGCTTTTGCCGCTTCGATGATCTCTGCTTCGTCGATCTTATCCGACGCTCTTCCGTATATAATGTTTTCTCGTATTGTCCCCGCGAACAACGTTGGCTCTTGGCTAACCAAAGCTATGTGCTGACGTAACGCTCTCAGGTTATACGTTCTTAAATCTCGACCGTCGATTTTTACAACACCGTTAACCGGGTCGTAGAACCGTTCGATCAACCCGATTAATGTGGACTTACCAGACCCGCTTGGACCAACTATCGCAGTGGACTTTCCTGCGTCGATATTGATAGAGAACTCTCTGAATATCGTTACATCCGGTCTAGTTGGATAAGAGAAGTCCACGTTGAGAAACTCGACCCGACCGGTTATTATGTCCGGTTCATATCCATCCGGATCCTCTGGATCAATGGACGTGTACCGGTCCAGCACGGCGAAAACCGACCCGACAGCATCCGAACCTTTGGCTAGGTCCGTTGTCATGCTTCCAGCATCGGCAATAACCCGACCGGTACTAACCAAGATCATAAAAGTTTCGAACAAAGCTTTGGCCGTTATGTATCCACCATCTATCAATCTACCACC